ATAAATATCAAAATTTGAAAAAAATATTGGGGAAGGCAATGTGAATAAAACGAAAAATCATATGAAAAAATGGCAAAAAAACATTAAGAAAATCGTTTTCGGAAATTCGCTACCAACTACAACGATGGATAAGTGTGGATCCGCAATTGAGGAGGTATGCTTAAAAATCGCTTAAGATAAATGAAGGTAACTATTTATAATTTAACCTAAGGGTCAGTTTCTTAGTGCACGTCTGCAGTTTCAAATCGGACTGACTGGCTTATGCCCAGATTAGCCAAGCAAATGTCCGCCAGCTGTTCACTGCAGACGCACTTTATGTGATCTAAGTTTAAACTGGCACGACGAGACTTGCCCTAAGAAGATACAAATATTTAAAGTCTCTACAATGAAAATATAGTTGAAAATGTTGGTAGCGGTAGAAATTCTTCTCCTAGTCGTCCTCAGCGGTTGTCTCCGTGTGATAGGGTGGTAGTAATATCAGTTTGACAAGCGGTCTTGTCACAGTGCCCTTTTCGGTCAGGATGTCAACAACTCGGACTCTACTGTCCAAACCTGGGTGTAAATTGACCACCCTACCTAGTCTCCATTCGTTAGGAGGGAGATTATCTTCTTTTATGACCACCATATCTCCTACTTTCATGTTTGCCTTCGGATGTTTCCACTTTGTGCGTTTTTGTAGCTCGTTCAGGTATTCAGTCTTCCATCTCCTGCAGAAGTTTTGGTGTAGGGCCTTGAGCTTCTGCCAACGATTAACGATCGAGGCAGGATTTTCGTTGACGTCTAACTCTGGTGGAGCTAGCAGGTGTCCGCCGACTAAAAAGTGGCCTGGAGTTAGAGGCTCCAGATCAGATGGCTCATTTGAGGCTGGGCTAAGTGGACGCGAGTTGAGACATGACTCAACTCTGCAAAGTAGTGTACTGAACTCCTCGAAAGTGTATTTCGAATTTGACGCTATCTTTTTAAAGTGGCTTTTGAAACTTTTCACACCTGCCTCCCATAAGCCCCCCATATGCGGAGCTGCGGCAGGTATGAAATGCAAGGTTAGTGATTGGTGAACATATTTTGAGAGCGTCTGTGTCCGCGCGTCGGAAAGAAATGCCTTAAATTCTGCTTTTAACGCTCTTGAAGCTCCTACAAAGTTTGTCCCATTGTCTGAGTAGACATTTTTTGGGCACCCACGTCTGGAAACGAATCTTGAAAATGCCGCTAGAAAGGATTGGGTACTCAAATCACTTGTGGCCTCTAGATGGATGGCCTTCGTAGAAAAACAGACCATAAGACAGACGTAACCCTTTGAAATTCGGCACCCCCGCCCACGATAACTTTTTATTTCAAAGGGTCCAGCGAAATCCACACCTGTATTTGTAAATGCTCGCGAAAACGTAGTTCGCTCTTGTGGAAGGATCCCCATAAGTTGGCTTTGTGAGCGTTTTTTGTGAATAGTACATATTTTGCAATTATGGATGGTGGACCTTATTAGTGTTTTCACCTTTGGAATCCAGTATTGGGTTCGGATGAGACGCAACATGAGTTGGTTTTCACCATGGAGAGAGACTTCGTGTACAAATTGGACTATTAGGCGCGATAACCTGCAGCTGTATGGGAGTATGACTGGATGCCGTTCACTATATGCCAGATCAAGAGATGCACCAAGACGACCACCAGTTCTCAGCAAATCATCTTTATCAAGCAACGGATTGAGAGGAAGGATTTCACTTTTTGACTCAATGGATTCTCTAGCTTTAAGTTTAGCGATTTCTGGTCCGTAATGTTGCTTCTGAGCGAGTTTTATCAGACGTATAGTCGTTGTTTTAATTTCGTTTGACGAAATTAAAGAAGAGTTCGCCTGAAAAGAAGCTTTTGTCTTCGGACTGGTTCTTTGAAGGAATCTCAATACATACGAGAGCACCCTCAAAGCTTTCGGTAAACTTGAAAACCGCTCAAGAATGTCACTAAGTTCGTTTGACGTTATTGTTGAATGAACGTGCAACCGTTTTTCCTCAATATTAGTAGTGAAGTCTATCTCTTGTAATGGCCAATTTTCTCTATTTTCTTGCAGCCAAGAAGGTCCTTGCCACCACAACGAATTTTGTACCAATTCATGCGCCAATATGCCCCTGCTTGCTAAGTCTGCTGGATTTGTGGCAGAGTCGACGTGCAACCAGTTAGAATTCCCTACCTTGTCTATTATTTTAGTAACTCGATGGGCAACGAATGTTGACCACGAACATGGGGGCTTGCGTATCCATGCCAAAACAATCGTCGAATCTGTCCAAAGATGTATGTTTAGGTGGCCTAATTCCAGGCTATTTGTAATAGATTCGACTATTTCGGCTAGTAATACCGCCCCGCAAAGTTCCAATCTAGGCAATGAAATTGTTTTCACTGGGGCTACTCGAGTTTTCGCTAACAGGAGGTTGACAAGTATTTTCTCGTCTCTTTCGACACGTAGGTAGACTGCGGCCGCGTATGCCTTTTCAGAAGCATCGCAGAATCCGTGAATTTCGACTTTTTCCTTTGGTGAAAAAGATACCCACCGCGGTATCCTTATTTTGTCGATTTCTTTATAATTTTTTGTGAAATTGTGCCACCTATCTAAGGTTGGAACGGAGACCGTTTCGTCCCACTTTGTACCCTCCAACCATATATTCTGCATAAGTATTTTTGCAACTATTATTATTGGAGCTAGCCAACCCAAAGGGTCGAATAGTTTGGCGATGGCTGACAATATTGCTCTTTTTGTTGGCGTGATGTTATCGTCTATGGTCTTGGTTATGAAATAAAATTGGTCGGAATGCGCATTCCACCTGATACCTAATGCTTTTACACTGCTAGTGTCCTCGAATTCTAAGAAATCTTCGCTTAAAAGATGTGGTTTTGGTATGCCCTGTAGTATTTTGTCACAATTCGAGGTCCATTTTCGCAAAGGGAATCCAGCTGATTTCAAAACTGTAGAAACCTCATCCCTAGCCTGTAACGTGGAGTCTATAGTATGTCCGCCCGCAAGAACATCATCGACATACATATTTTTCCGTAAAATATTCGAAGCTATCGGATGGGAATTTTCTGAATCATTAGCTAGCTGCAGTAATGTCCTTATCGCCAGATAAGGCGCACAGTTTATACCGAAAGTAACCGTTTTTAATTCATAAAGACCGATTGGTTCGTTTGGACCCGTACGGAAGACTAATCTCTGGTATTTCGTCTGGTTGGCATCCACGAGAATTTGCCTGTACATCTTCTCAATATCGCTATTGAAGACGTACCTAAAAAGTCTCCAGCGGAGAATCAAAATTGGTAAATCAGCTTGAAGAACTGGCCCTGGTAAAAGAACATCGTTCAAGCTGACCCCATTCGCTGAAGAAGACGAAGCATTAAAAACCACCCGAACCTTTGTTGATATACTTTCTTCTTTTATCACGGCATGATGAGGCAGATAGTAATTGTCGATTGCATCGGCCGACTGAAGTGCATTGATTTTCGACATATGCCCCATTGTCTCGTACTCTAGTATGACCCTGTTGTATTCCGCATGCAAATCTGGATTTTTCTTGAGACGTGTCTCGTTTTTGTAGAATTGCGAGCACGCTATTCTCAGTGATGGCCCCAATTTGGTATCAGCCGGGAACTCCGCTTTGAATGGAAGCGAAACGATATACCTTCCGTCTGGGTTCCGTTTGGTTGTACGCTTGTAGAGCTCCTCACACTGTGTTTCTTCGGTTGTTGGTGCTCTGTTTCTCGGCAAATCCTCCAGTTCCCAGAATGAGCATAACTGTCTATCAAGGGCAACCTCATTGTAAAATGAAACTCGATTATTGCTGGTTGGGCTGGCTGCATCAGCACGACCAGTCAGTATCCAACCGAATACTGTTTCTTGCGCTAAGAGAGTACTGAGAACGTTCTTCTTAATTCCACCTAATATTATTTGAGGATATATGTCTCCTCCAAGAACCAGATCGACTTGTTCATTCACAAAAAACCTTTTATCTGCCAAAACCAGATCAGGAAAAACTTGTTGTGTGAGTGCGCTAACATCACAAGTAGGCAAATTCCCTGTCAGATTTGGTAGAACTAACACAAGGGCATCAATAGAAATAAGTGGGTCAATTGGTGACCGCAATTGAATCGAACACGCTTCTTTCACCTGCGCTGAAACAGAATTATTGATGCCCGAAACCTGTGCTAACATCTTCTTGGTTGGCAAGTTGATTCTGCGTCTGAGCCTCTCCGTGATGAAGGAACACTCAGAGCCAGAGTCAATTAACGCTCTTGCCGCAAAGTTAGTACCATTAAAATGAATATTTACTCGAGCTGTCCCAAGTAAAACGCCTTTGCTTGAATTCGCGTGATGTGTTTGCACATGTCTGACTGCTTTACCTTTTCCCTTTGAAGATTGGTTTCGTAATTGTGCCTGCCTGGATGTCGATGCACCATTGTTAACTGGATTGGCTGTATTCTCCTTTGTCGTTGTTTTACCTGAAGCCGCCTGTATATGAAGTAGGGTGTGATGTCGAGAATGGCAATTGGCACAGTTGTAGGAACTTGTGCATTTCGACACCGTATGCCCAAAGGACAGGCAGTTAAAACAACTATTGTTGGTTTTAATAAAAGCGATCCTATCAGATATCGACATATTTAAGAATTTTTGGCACATATGCAGTCTGTGATCATTGCTTTGACACATTTTGCAAGTAAATTTGCTTACACTAGTTTGAAAAGTGCCAAGTTTCTTTTGTGGCGGTTCAGAGGAATGCTTATGACTTAACCCTTTTGAAATTTTTGAAACCTTGATTCCTCTCAACCCCGAGACCGATTCCAAAGTTTGGAATCTGCTTGACAAGAATTGGTCCATGTCAGCCCACTTGGAAATATCTGTTTTATTTTGCACTGATTGCTCCCACAGCGAAAGAGTCTCTTCTGGTAATTTTGTGGAGCAAAGGTATGTAATTATTGGATCCCAGGTTGAAATGTCAATTTTATGACTCTCCAGGGAAGATATGCAATTGTTTATATCCCTTTGCAATCTTTTAATTGCACTCCCGCATTCAGTTTCCACCGCCTGTAGATTGAAGAGGATCTTCAACTGGGTGTTAACTAGGATCCTTTTATTCTCATACCTATCGCACAAATTCTTCCAGGCTATATTAAACCCATCATTTGTCAGGTCGCATTTCTTAACAATTTCTTTGGCTTCACCCTGCGTTTTCTGACTAAGATAGTAAAGCTTTTGAATGGGTGTCAGCCGCTTGTTCAATATATATATAGCCGTGAACATGTCACGAAATGTTGGCCATGACAAATAATCGCCCTTGAATGCGTCGATATCACAAGGCGGTAGGTGTAAATTATGCTGTGTGGCTGACATGTCCTCATCTTCCTTTTCGGATTTTTCAAATTTTTCCGACAAATCGTTTATTTTGGACATACATCGCACAAAAGCTGCATAGCACGTTTTTCCTTTCTTACGTATCGAACTTAGATCTTTAGCACCAATTGATTCCGTAGCCAGCAAGTCATCAAAAAGTGCTTTGGCTTTCTCCCACATCACCTTTAGCTCCTCTTGCTGAATTTTCAGCGAATGCTTGGTGTGTTCACTTGTGGGTGTGCCAAGAAATTCGATATCGAATTCAATAACCGAGTCAGCTAAGCGAATGTATGTTTCCATTTTTAAAGTTTTAACCACAACCTAATAAGATCTCTCAAGATTCTTCCTCAGAATAAGCAACTCAAAGAAAACACCCACTATAGTGAATGACACAGTTGAAATTATTGCCCAAAAGCCACCCAATTTGTAAAAATCACAAAATTTGCCTCCTAAGCTCCACAACTTCGTAAAAATCCCAAAATTTATGGTACTCAATATCTATGTATGTATGTACATATATGTATGCACAATCGTTTTATTTAATAATATATGTGCGTGTGTATGTACATATGTCTCTTGTGGTTGCTTTAAGTATTGGTCGCCACCCGGTATGTGTATAGTTTTTTATAACACGTATGTTTTTAGGATACAAAATCGTTTTTTAATAAAATCAATATTAAATTAATGCTTAGTGAGTGATTTTGTGAAAAAGGCGAAAAGACGAAAATGGCACTTTTTGAGGTTAAGCCTCTGCTACCATGCGAATTTGATATGTGTATGTATGTATGTTAATACACTTGTGCCACTTATCCGGAACTCAGAAAAAACTGAAAATGTGTAAATTCCCGTGAATTAATTTAAAACTCCAAATTGAAAAATGTGATTTTAATTCGATTGGGAATATTATTCTATCTTGCAGAAACTTAAAATGCAAAATGAATTTTCGCGCGCTTTTACTAATTGAGGTTACTGTGCCTGCTTGCGGACAGACAGAACTTTTAGTGGACTGTAACTTTTTTTTTTTTTCACAAGATCACTCGCCGACACTATTCTTTTAGTATATATTTTAAATTTAATAATTCACACCAAAAAAAACAAGTGCAGTGATATTTCAAAACAACCACGTACCTTTTTAATGTGCTTTATGTTGTTTTGTTGTAGCTGATAAAAATTGAATTTTGCTGTGTGGTGACCACGTATGAACTCCTTGGCTAGCTGCTATGCTGGATTGTGGAATTGTAGCCGAAATGCTATCTAATAGTGCTGGTGGATTGATTCTCGGCTGATCTTGATGTAGCTGATTAGCGTTTTGATCTGGCTGATATCTCCGGGAATCTTATAATTTGTGCTCACGGCGACGGAGGACCATGTTCATCGGGCAAAGATGGTTAAGAGCGCAGTTTTCGGATGTGCCGCAAATTGGTAATGGCCCAGTTTCAAGTTCGCACCGATGTATTTTAATTAGAAAAAAAAGTACACAAGAAAGTTTGTATGAGCAAATAGAATTTAAATGGTTTTATTGCTTAATATATTAATATGTACAATTGTATTTCAGGTTACCTTATATATATATATGTAGCTGGATGAGGCGATGAAAATTGGTGGCTGCAAGACGTCTACTCAAATGGATATTCGGTAAGCAAGTAAAATCCGTTCTTTTTCTTTTTAATCACGTTAGCCTTTCGAACGGCTTTTTGAGCGAGGGAAATTTTAACATAACTAGCGTTCGACAATAGAAAGCAGTTAACTGTTGTCTTATGTTCAAATGTTAAATATTAGGGTGGCTCTTAAATGGCGTATTTAAGACGCTGGCCTAAACATGCCGGCCCCCTTGCGGCAAGCAATCTGGAAGTTTACGTATTTAGGCCACCAAGTTTCATCGTTTAGTAGATATGTCTTAAAACTAGAAGCGACGTATCCATTTACGTTCCGCATTTGTCGAACCTAAATTCTAGAAAAAATGTAAAGGAAGAAAAAGGTCACAATAAAACGTGGTTTGAAATTCACAAGCACTTGTTTATTTTTATTTCAATTCATGTTATTAATCCAGATTTTCGAAAAAAATAAAAAAGTGAATATAAAAAATTTATTGTATTTGTTGGGGGGAAAAATCATTCAGCAAGCACCGGAGAGCACCCACCCGAAGATTGTATTTTGTGCCAATAGTGGGCCCATGGCACCTGCGGGAAGCGCGCCCAGGAAAATCTTGGGGAAAACGTCGGCCCCAAGAACTACTCGGACTGGCGAAGAAATGTGGAACCGCGGGTCAGCCAGTCTTAAATTCGTATATGCTGCGCCAATCGAAGCGTCGATATTCGCGACCGGGGTTATCTTTTTGAAGCTTCTCACAATAATAGCGTGAGTGGTTACCGTCGCTGTTTGCCCGTATTTTCCACGCATTTTAATAAAGCACCCGCGTTGCTTATTGATGGACGTCACGTTCAAGCGTAGCTCTTGGGCAAGATCATCCGCTAGTATCGACGTGGCTGCGCATGGGTCTATGAGTGCCCGTATGTGATGTAGTCGGCCTCCTGCTTCTATTTTCACGACGGCGGTGGGCGCTACTGGTGTCTGGCTTTGTAGCGAAATAACAGCTGTTCGCCCCATAGTTACCATTCCGGATCGAAATCCGCTTTGAGCTTGGCGGTGGAATGCAGAAGATTCCACTCGCCCGCTTTTGATTTGTCGACGGCGAGGGCGGTAACGCTGCTGTCGGGATTTGAAACCTCCCTTGTTTTTTGAAGGCTGGAAAGCTCCGGTTTCCAGTCCCTCTTGATGGTCTCGCTCGTGCTCTGAGTCTGGGCGAAAACGCTGGAGTCCTAATCCCCTCGACCCATCTGGATGGAAAGCGTAGGTTTCCATTCCAGGGGAGTTTGCTGAGCGGAAAGCATCGGTTTCCGCTTCAGGTTCAGGGATTTCCCCCTCTTCCAGGCCTGGGCGGAAAGCTGAAGTTTCCGCTCCAGCCTCTGACGCCTCTAATGATATGGCGTCGCTATCGTCGTCTTCGGCAACCGTATTTCTTGGTGGTCGTCGGCTAAAACGCGGCTTGTCGGCACGTGATGAAATATGAAGCAACGTGTGATGTTGCTCCTGGCACTGCCGGCATCTGCCCTCGTTAGTGCAATGTGCTGCGCGGTGGGTTCCTGCTAAGCAATTGGAGCAGTAGCGGTGTATCAATACTTCACGCAGACGCTCTTCAGGCCCTTTAGCACGAAAAACAGGGCAGAGCCGGAGAGGATGCTTCGAGCCGCAAAGTCGACAAGTCAGGGGGTAGCCTCGGGTAGTTTCCGCTTGTTTGCGCATCAACGTGAAGCGGGTCATTTTCTGAAATAGCAGTTTCCCAATCGTAATTAGAACTTTCCAAGGAAACGAGATTGACGGGTGGCGAGCCATAGCGAGGTACAAATTTACGCATTTCTAAGAAAAACATTCTATTGGGGTGGTGAGAGTCGGCAGGGTTCATGGGAACTTTGAGCTGCTTATCTGATAAATAGGTTGCACGGAAAGTGTGGCGGAAACAAATTAACATTTAATTGATGGGTCTATGCATTATAACTTGACGTAGTAATACTGCATTTTGAAATAGATAATAATAAATAATTATGTATTATTCATTATTACCCACCCCATCTATATGAAAAAAAAATGCATATAATTTCCATTACTGCAAGCACTAACTGCACACACACACTATTAAGCGGATCTGCACAAAATTTGCGCAGACTTGCTACAGAAAATGGCAAGTGCAACCTCAGTGTTATTATCGAAAGAACTCTCCATAGTATCGAATTGTTTAGTACATCGATATCGATAACACAACACTACTTCCGTCAATGGCCGATTCCCAACCACGTTAAATATATTCGTCTTTACTACAAGTGCTGTTGTGCGGTGCCGGTGAAATATTCCGAGTTAATTGAAAAAAAAACATAGCAAGCGGCGCGAGTGAAACAATAATTAACCCATCGATTTTGATAGCAGGTGCAGTGAAAAGGTGATTGTCAATAGTAAGTAGTAATATGTAAGTAGTGCGAATGTAGACACAAACAAAAGAAATAAGTAAAAACAAAAAAAAACGGTGAATTTTAAGAAATAAGTGCGTAGAGTTCCTTTTAAATAAAAAAAAAATGCGTAAATTAAAGTTAATTTCTAACAAGAAAAAACGTGCGTAATAAATATACATACGTTTTGCGAAACATATGTATGTGCAGAAGTACCGGTGGAGTGTTCAATTCATTATGTAAATGTGCCTTATGTAAAGGAATATGTACATACATATGTA